GTCAAAGATGGCCCCTAGGATTCTTGTATGGACATCTCTTTCATTTGTTGCTATTGTCACTTGCTTAGCAGTGACAAGAATAACTTGGTCTAAATTTGTAAATTTTACAAAGCAGGTTTACTGTGCACTGGTTACCAACTTGTGTGAGCCCACTGAGTCAGAACACACTCGTATATGACAAATGACATAAATTGAATTTATTAGTTACAGATAGACAGCAAGGAACAAAAGCAGCCTAGGATCCATTGTGAGCCAGGTCCCCATGGTTCAGGAAATATGCTTGAGGCTGAGAATGGTGGTGCAAGCCTGTAATCCCAGCAGCCAGGGAGGCTGAGGCAGGAAGATCACAAGGTCAAAGCCAACCTCAGCAGCTTAGCAAGGCCCGAAGCAACCTAGTGAGACCCTGTTTTAAAATAATAAATAAGTCGAGCTTAGGATGTGGCTCAGTGATTAAATGCCCCTGGGTTTAATTCCCGGTATCAAAAGGAAAAAAAGAACAAGAAAAAGAAAGAAAGCTGCTTGAGGCAGAGGGAGTCTCAACTGTGCGTGCTCTACATGCTTCATAGCTGAGGGACCTGAAACATAGCCCTAGGCTTTATACCTAAGGGTCACTGTGTCTCACTAGGCAGAGCTTCAAAGGACATTTTAAAGGTTGTCTTGGACAGTTCATCCCTGACTCCAGATGTTATATTCCCTAGGAATGAGAGAAACAAGGCCAAGGCAGTTCCTCCCCATTTCAGAACAGTGCATTTTTAACACAGTCTGACATTATTCTTAAGTGCTATGAGTAAGGAGGAGGGAAAAACTGGGCCAGTCCAAAGCCACCTAGAGAAACTTCCCTGCAATAGAAGTTGGCAAATCTTTCACTGTGTTGTTCAGTAGAGGTTCCGTGGGCATACAGATGCACTGAACAACCAACCATTAAATAAACCCAGGTAACTGATGGAAAGCCATGTCTCCAATTTCCAAATGTGACACCCAGTCATTGTAATTGATACATCTGGTCACAAGATAATCCTGTCCAATTATTGCCAACTGAAACAGGCTGTGTATGATTTTCCTGGAGCTGAGCCTGCCTTACTCCTTTAAAATTAAATCAGTCTATTCTGTAGCACCCTTCAGGTTTATGTCAACCTGAAGGGAGATTTCTAACAACTACCAGAGATCTGCTCTGGTCTGTGTCTTGTTCTGTTTTGATCATTGCCTGGCTCCTACAGGCATTGCCAACTAGAACAAGAAAATATGGTGAAGATATTTGGGGATATAATCAGAAACCAGATGCATTTTGACAGGCTTAGACTTACTCTAACAAGAAGACATTAAGCAGGGCCGCAAATAACCTGCATCAATTCAGGACAGTGTAGATTGGGTTTCAAAAATGGTATGTATGTGAAAGAGTGAGACGTTTTAGTTTACTCTGTGTGTCATGACTGCCAAAAGGATCCATGTGATCTGAGGCCACCTGAAGAGAACAGTGAGGTGAGAGAGGTGATGGACTGGCCCTTCTTGTTCCTTGTCAGATCATGCCTGGAGGACCACGTTCCAACAAAATGGAATGTATTCAGAGACAAACAGCAGGGTAGTGAGAGACCTTAAAGCAGTATAAAGAATACTTGAAAACCATATTTAGCATCAAGAAGAGAAGCCTCAGGCTACATAAATGCTGTTTTCACATATCTGAAGCCACACAAGTAGAGTTAAAAACAGATCCCTAAGTAAGACCTAGGGGTCTGGAACTACCACTTTTTGTTACCACTCCATATCTCTATCTTAAGCCCAGATTGCTGCTCTCTGTGTATCCCTTCAACTCTCTCCTTGGAGGTCCTACAGGCACCTCAAACTTTTCTCCAGAGACCTGGGGAGCATGTTTAACTCCCCCACCCTCATTCTCTCTTCCATTCAAATCTTAGCTCCTAAATATTTCTCTAGTCAGCCCCACATCCTCTTTCTACCTTGTATTCACTAGTAGCTTCTTTTTTAAAATATTTATTTTTTACTTGTAGTTGGACACAATACTTTTATTTATTTATTTTTATGTGGTTCTAAGGATTTAACCCAGAGCCTCACACGTGCTAAGCAAGCACTCTACCACTGAGCCACAACCCCAGCTCCTCTAGTAGCTTCTTAATTAGTGTCCTTAATTCCATCTCTGCACCATACATAATGACCTTTCCAAAGCATAGTCTTCATGTTACTCCCCTGCCTAAAATCCTTCAAAGGCCTCCATATTGCCTGCAGAATTAAGTCTTAATTCCTTTTAAATTTATTTTTAATTAGCACATAATAATTGTACACATTCATGGGGTGGAGTGTGATACTTTGATACATGCATATGAATTCCTCAATATGACAACTGAAGCAGGCCCCGTGACCACCTCTCCTCTTCCTCTACCTCTCAACTCTACAGGAGACTTTTTAATGCACTTCTCTCCCACACAACAAGCTGGTTTGCACCTCTGTGTTCCCTGGAAGATGGGGGCTGCTAGGGCCCTTTACATTCATGGAATCTCCAGAGTTATTGTCACCTAATTCTAAGTAGCTTTCATCACCAGGGCATTTTATGCATGAGTGTGTGTGTGTGTGTGTGTGTATGTGTGTGTGTGTGTGTAGGCCCTGATCTACTTTCTTTGCTGCAGTGATTATCCCTAAGGTGTAGAGATTGAGACTGCCCACATTGGGGCAGTCCTTGTCTCAGGTGGGCACTAGGCAACCTTCAGGACAAAGGTGTACTGGAGCCACACATGCATAACATGAGAGACTCTGTGAATATCTGTCTCTGTCCCTCTGTGATGTCTCCTCTCTCTCCATGTGGGTGTAATGCATATAAAACATTGATTCTGACAACGGCAGTTGGGCTCTCTGTGGTCTAAAGGGCAAGAACTGGCTTTTAGGAAGGAGATCATCAGATTTGCGCTGTGGTGCACTCTCAGATTTACCAGAAGATGTCACTGTAGGCTTAAGCCAGTAAAACAAGTTAGGGCAGGAGGACTATCAACTAAGCATGAAGGTGACTCCATTATGGGACTTTAAAACACTCAGCAGCCTCTATTACAATGCATGTCTGGAAAAGCTGGTTAAAAGATTAATCCAAATGTGTCACTGGACTAAATTTATTTTTTTTCCCCAAGAATGAGACTAATTGCCACTACACTATTGCCTCAGGCCTAACACAAAGGCTTGATAAAGGTGTCTGAATGAATGAGCAAGCAAGCGAGTGAATGACTGAGTGAGTGAATGTGAAAATAAGGAGTGCAAGGAGGGATCTGTGGGTATAGTAGTCATCTTCACTGGTCAAGGCCACTAGGGGATAAAAGCTGCTACTCTTTAGCAGTAGGTCTTTACAGAGATGAATTTGAGTGGCACCAGAAAGATCAAGTCCTAGGAAAAGTTCAGAGAAAAATGAAAATACTCTTAGTCCTCACTCCAGGATGCTTCTGTGCCCCATGTTTATTCCAGAAAAACATATGAAGTGATTTTTAAAAAAATACCATCTTGTGATTTTTGCAAGGCACTTGGAATATATGGAAGTGCTATGGCTCTACAGAGGGAAAAAAAAAGTAATGGTAGTAGTGAGGGGCAGGATACATTTTCTCAAAGGAGATGTGGTACTTGAACTTGGACTTGAAGGATGAGTAGAATTTTCTAATAAAGGATGAAAGCTCATGCCAGGCAGAGGAAACACCATGTACAGTTTAGAGGCATGGAGTATAGGTCCCAGGAGGCCTGAGGTGCTGGAAGCCAGCATCCAGGAGGAACATTTCCTCAGAAGGCATTCACTCAGCCAGGTGACCAAGAAGGTTCTCTCTGGCTCCTCACCATCATGCTTTCAGATAGGAATGGATAAACTTCAGAGAAGTTGCTAGCCATTCCCCAGACTTCCTTTAAGAAACTCAATGCCAATATGCAGTGTTTATTGTTTTGCTTCCACAGTATGCTGTTCTGTGATCTCATCATTCATCCATTGGACCCAAATGGAAATTAATTTGTCATAAAAAGCTCAATTACAGGATCATAGACCTTGACATTTCTGGAGTGTGGTACATATGCCCATACCCACTCTGCATGGGTGTGAGTCTGGTGTGTGGTTTGAATGTTTGCCAGTCTGGTATTTGAGCAAAGAATTTTATCCATCTGCAGCATGAAAGGAAAGATAACCACACAGCAAAGCCTCCATGTTTGCTGACATTCATGTGTCCTTTCAGTGGGTAAAGAAAAAGAACATTGTTGAGATGATAGAGTTAACTTTCCTCTCCTGGAAATATTCTCATGTGAGCAAAGGTTAAAAGCAAGGTAGTGACTCGCATATATGCTGTGGGCAACTACCATGTCTATTTCAGTCAGTGACTAACCACAGTGTTTATTTCTGGAGGCCCTGGGTTGTTCTGCCTATATCTACATTCCATTTCCATAACGTATGAGCCATGATGTTATGACAAACAACCAGAATCAAGAGTATCATATCAAAGACTCTTTCAATGTGATTTTGGTTTTTTAATAAGATTTCCAGATTAGACTGGATATTGGAAAAATGCTTATGCATATTTAATAAGAAAGATTAGCATTTGAGCTCACTTATCAACTCCATTTCACTTCATCAAATCATTTGCTTCCATTGAGTCTCCATTTTATAATCAGTTAGTGTGGGTTTAATGTGGGTTGAGGGATGCAGAGTATGAAATAACATGGTTGCATACTGAACTGATGGCATCGGTGGGAGGATTTTGTCATTGGTTGGAGAGAGGAAAAACAGGAGAGGAGAAAAATGGAGTGAAGAATGACAAGGCCCATGTCTTGAGTCTAACCTTTGTATACCTCTTTGGACAAGCTAGTGGGATTTAGGGGACTATAGTACAGTTCAACAGGATACATGCCACCAGCTCCCTTTCATTCACAGTTTGCTTTCTTTGCTGGCCAGTGAACACCACTTAAGCCATGCACCTCCCCAACTCCACTACAGTCACCAACATCTCTGACACTTGATCTTTGTGCTTTGTCTATAGGAACTTCCACTATATCACCATCCTCCGAGATCCAGTATCCCGGTACTTGAGCGAGTGGAGGCATGTCCAGAGAGGGGCCACTTGGAAAGCATCCCTGCATGTCTGTGATGGAAGGCCCCCAACCTCGGAAGAGCTGCCCAGCTGCTACACTGGTGATGACTGGTCTGGCTGCCCCCTCAAAGAGTTCATGGACTGCCCCTACAATCTGGCCAACAACCGTCAGGTGCGCATGCTCTCTGACCTGACCCTAGTAGGCTGCTACAACCTCTCTGTCATGCCTGAAAAGCAAAGAAACAAGGTCCTTCTGGAAAGCGCCAAATCCAATCTGAAGCACATGGCGTTCTTTGGCCTCACTGAGTTTCAGCGGAAGACCCAGTATCTGTTTGAGAAGACCTTCAACATGAACTTTATTTCGCCGTTTACCCAATATAATACCACTAGGGCCTCTAGCGTAGAGATCAATGAGGAAATCCAAAAGCGTATTGAGGGACTGAATTTTCTGGATATGGAGCTGTACAGCTATGCAAAAGATCTCTTTTTGCAGAGGTATCAGTTTATGAGGCAGAAAGAGCATCAGGAGGCCAGGCGGAAGCGTCAGGAGCAACGGAAATTTCTGAAGGGAAGGTTCCTTCAGACTCATTTCCAGAGCCAGAGTCAGGGCCAGGGCCAGAGCCAGAACCCGAGTCAGAATCAGAGTCAGAATCCAAATCCAAATGCAAATCCGAATCTGCCTCCGAATCTGATTCAGAATCTGACTCAGAGTTTGAGTCAGAATTCGAGCCAGAAGGAGAACCGGGCAAGCCCCAAGCAGAACCCAGGCCAGGAGCAGCCCGAAAGCAACACCAGCAATGGCACCCATGACTACATAGGCAGTGTAGAGAAATGGCGTTAAATGGCTCTGAAAGGCTTGTGCACACTTCTCCCAAAGCGCCACCAAAAAGATGGCATATCTTAAAAGATGAAAATGTCCAAACACATCCTGATTCCTTAAGTTTGTAAGTTAAAAAAGGTTTAGATGTTGCCTTTACAGTTGCCTTTCAATTAAATGTTATGCTGTGTGTGGGTAAAACAGATCTCAATATGTAATTAAATTGTCTTTTTTTTTCTTTTGGTTGGACTTTTTATGAAATCCAAAAGCCAAAAGAGACTCACCAGAAATTGCTGTGTAGCTGTTTTAAGAAGTTCTTAAATTACTTATGGAGGCAAAATGAATACACAAAATGTGACCATTTAACATACAACTGAGAAATGGAATTTAAGTGATTCCTGATACACTGTTAAAACCCAGTTTTGGAAACAAACCCTTTTTCCAGTGGTGAGCGTAACTATAAATATCAAATGACTAAAAGAAACACAAAACCTTTCATTTCCTTCTGATTTTAACAAGGAACCTATTTAAATAAAACAGCAACTGATGATAAATTTTACCAAAGTGTAGAAAATTTGAAAATTCCTCTCCCAATGGGTGGTTTTATGTAAAAATATTGGCTTTTCAAATAGAACAGGACTCATATCTTGTAATTTAAGAGATGTTTAAAATTTTAAACTTTTCTACCTTCTACTATTTAAAGGTTTTAAACAGGGTGTATCTCATATTAAGGAAAAAACATATTTTTTCCAAATGGAAGACCAGTGTAAAAATCTAATGTCCAGATGCTTTCAGAGCACTGTAATTTCAACAATTCTGGAATCTTTTTGGCGCTGCTTCTCATTCACTTTAAGGCTTTTCCAAGTTGTGCTCATTCCAAACAAACCCATGTATAGAATCTTTCTCCATCATCTAAATGGTGTGTTGCTGAATTAATTGTGGTATATAATCCTGGATTAAAGTCAGGACTTTCTTTCTATAGAATTGTCTTATCAATGTTTGTGTAGTGAGGTCCTTAATCAAGAAACTCTTGAACAGGACAATGTGTCTAAAAATATTGCTGAAGTTATTCTTGATCAGATAGAATTGAACCTGAATGTGAATTGTTATTTACTTTTTGTACATCTTTATTGTATAATGTTTCCAGTTTGGCTGGCTATTTCTGGCCCATTAGTTCTTCTTTGTGTTGACAAGTTTGTAGACAATTATAAAAGCCAATAAAGGGTAGAATAAGCATGACAATAGCCAGAGTTATTCTTCAACACCAAAAGCTGCTGCTTGATTCTTTGGGTTAACCTTTCTACCAGGTTTTCATTTATGAAAGACCAAAGTAGAGGGCATTCTGCAGCAGAGTTAAGTATCAAGAACAATCTAGTGGAAGAGAGTAACATGCTACTGTGAGTCTACACATCATGTTTCTGGGTGGTTTCCATTTTATGGGTTTGGCTATACTTTTGCAAGAACTTACATTGACCTCTGGTTATCAAACAAGGTGCCTGGAAGTGGTACTCATGTTTTCAGGAGGGACATGCTTAGAAGTGTGACCATAAGATACATCTTGTACAATCTGCCCTTGTGCATGATCTGGTTTCATCTATAATAATGGCCACAAGCTGAGCAAGAAGCTGAATATTTGAGCTTAAAAATGAATTTTCGTGTCTCTAAGCTTGAATCAGTATTTCTAGCTTTTGTTTTGTCTGACAGTGTTGCAGTCCTGGGAATTCTAAAACCTAAAACCTGGAAGTAAAATTTTAAAGAAACACACACACGTTGAAGTCAAAAGTGTTTTACAGTGAAACTATGTTGTGTGCATTGTGTTTTTAAAATACTCTGTAGATCATTTTGGTATTTTGATTTTGTTTAGTTTTAATTGAAAACGTTTGCTCTTAAAATTGACAGGTAGTTTGGGAAAGGAGGATGAAGCCCAAGCCAACGGAAAAGCTTGTTACAGAAAAAACAATTTGTATTATTGTTGTGGTGTGCATGGTTTTGCAGAGATTAAGTGCAAAAATTTTCTCTGTCTATACTGATTATTGTATATAGGGGATGTTATAAATACACATTTTTGTCATCATCATGTAAATCCCATGATTTCAACTGTAAACATCTGTTCAATGGTGTAGCTTTACAAACCATTCACTGATTTGTGTAATTTAACAATAGATATGAAATAAAGTTTAAATTACAGGCTCTGAGCAATTTCATCATTTCAAGATTTGCAGCCACTAGACACTATGAGATCATAGACAAGAACAGAATTCTCTTTTCATAAGGAGTTTTCCTTTTTTCCTCTTGGCAGATAGGTATGGAAACAAAATGGCCCATTCTAGTTCCCCACACTAAAATGGCCTTAATCTGGGGTGCTTCTATCTGGAAGCTTATGTTTTCATTAAAACAAAATTATCCTTAAAAGACAAGTTTCGCTATACAAATGAAATATGCATGTTTTAATTTGAAAGTTATTAAAGTACATACTTTACTATCTAAGAACATGCAGAAAGGAAAAATACCATTCTTAATTTCCTATCTCTCCCCCCTATCCACAGGGTAGAGGTAAGCATTAGCAGTTGGCTTTTTGAAGTCTTGAATAATAATTTTTTTCCAAACAATCTCTTGTGTTTAGGACCATGGGTGGGGATGATTTGTGCTTGTTCCTTTTCAAAGAGATTTTATATGTCAGTACCAAGGGGGGAAGAAAACTGCAAATTTGGAAAGAGGTAAGTATATAAACTATGCTTATGAGGTTTATCCCATCAAATGTTTATTGAGCAATAATTGGGTGGGCAGGACTGGAGGGGTGTGAGGCCCTGGGTTCAATCCCCAGCACCACAAAATAAATAAATAAAATTGGGCAGCCAAAGTTCTTGAATGTATGAAGGTTCCATGGCCCTTTGGAAGGAATGCAGAGGCCAAGATCTTGAAATATTTAGGAAGTAAAGGTTGGTGTCTTTTTCCCTTGAGGACAGTTGGTACCCTTGGAGAGCTGGGCATTTTCCATGAAGTGCAGAACACATAGGAGACCTACATTTGGCTTAAGGCCACCAGATTAGGGTTGACAAAAAGAAAATGGGCTATTTGTGGTAGCCTCTAGAAGAGCTCTAATGAAGTCACTAATTGGCTCAATTCCCAAAGACTTGGGATTCTCACTGGGAGTTACAGTCAAGTAAGAGTAGGCCTATGGGGTGGTAAGGGGGGTCTAAAAAAGTAATGGTTTCCATCCATGGGGGTGGGGTGTGTAAGGAAATAATAAAAGCACCACGCAATGGACTTCGGACAGTTGGAGTCTCAACATGGCTGAGACAGAAGAGAACCACAGAATAACTTCTGGTTGGTGATGTACAACCCAGCATTTTCTGGCATTATCTTTAAGACCCTCTTTTAGTCAGCTTTTTCATTGCTATGACTAAAAGGACCCAACCAGAACAACTATAAAGGAAGAAAGGTTTATTTAGGTCTCATGGTTTCAGAGATCTCAGTGGATAGAAGGCTGGCTCTGCTCCTTGAGGCTTGAGGTGAGGCTGAACATCATGGTGGAAGAGTATTGTGGAGGGAAGCAGCTCACATGACGATCAGAGAGCAGAGAGAGAGGCTGCACTCACTAGATATAAAATATATACCCCAAAGCCATACCCACAATTCCTGCCTACCTCCTCCAGCCACAGTATACCTGCCTACAGTTACCACTCAGTTAATCTCTATCATGGGATTAATTCACTGATTGCATTAAGACTCTTACAACCAAATCATTTCTCTTCTGAACCTTCTTTCATTGTCTCACATGAACTTTTGGGGGACACCTCACAGCCAAACCACAACAGACACTGTTCCTAACATTTGGAAGTTGGGAAGGAAGAGACTAGGGTATTCATTCAGCTCAAGTGGCTATTATCATGTGTCAGTACTTCCTTCTCTCTTGCCCTTGCTAAGGATTAAAGTACACAAAGAAAAACTGGGTGTTTTTAAAAAAAAAATGCTAAAAAGAAGTGCAGGGTCCCTGGGATTTTGGAATCCTAATCTTTCACATGACAAAAAAAAAAGTAAACTTCCAATTTTGATTGTCAAAGGAATTTGATCCACACGCATCAAAAATGCCAAAGTACATCACTCAGGCAAGTGCATAAAGCCCTGGACATTTTTGGAGGGCACTATCCTGAACACAAAGCAAATCAGCTGTTTCTTAAGACAGATGGTACTACATCAGCCTCCGAACTATTGCCTGGGTTCAAATGTAGTCCTCTACCTGCTTTTGTAAATAAAGTTTTATTGGAACACAGCACACCCATCTCTTTCCATATTTCTCTGGCTGCTCTCAAGCTATGGAGGCAGAAGTAGTTGAAACAGATCCCATAGCCTGAAAACTCTAAACTTTTTATTTTATTGCTTTTAGGGGAAGAAGTTGGTTAAACCCAGAGCTAAGAGAGCCAATCAAAGTTTCCTAAACATAGTCAGGTGCATTGGTGCATGCCTGTAATCCCAGATGCTGAGAGCCATAGCTAAGTAAGAATGACGCATGGCAATTTCCTTGTCAGCCTACCCCATGTTGCTTAGAGGGAGGACTCTCCATTGTGGAAATGAGCTTGCCTTGGACCCAGGTCATTTGCAATGACATTGCATGAGAAAGGTGACCCTGCTCAAGGACCAGGGTGGATCTGGGTTTGGGGAGGATCCTGCTGGATTAGGGTGGGTCCAGGTTTAGGGTGTATCCGGCTGGGAATAGGGAGTATCCCGCTCCTTGGGTTTAGGGCGGTTCCAGGTTTAAGGTGTATCCTGCTGGGAATAGGGCATATCCTGCTGCCTCAGGCGCCCGCCCGCTCCTTGAGTCCCATTGAGTTCTCGTGGGATGCAGAGCAGAGTGCTGGTGGATTTTCCTCAGAACGTGCGTGTAGAGTGCCGGTGACAGTTCAGGAATAAAGAATTGCTGTTTGAATCTACAAGGCTGTGAGTGGCTCGTGATTTTGTGCCCAGCCAGACTGCGGCATTTGGTGCTGATAACGCCAAGGTCGTGGGTTGGATCCCCGTACGGGCCACCAAATGCCCCTTTCCACCCAGATATTATGGAAGCTAAAGCAGGAGGATCACAAGTTGGAGGCCACCTCAGTAACTTAGTGAGACCCTGTCTCAACATAAAAATCAAAAAGGGCTAAGGATGTAGCTCGGTGGTAAAAACTGCCCTGAATTCAATCCCCAGTACCAAAAAGAAAAATTGTTTTCATTTTTACTCAATTTCTTTTTTCCAAATATCAGCAATGTATCATAGTTTCCCTTCCACAACAGGAATCTATTGAATGGTTTACTCTAACCCTCCAGCTGATTGCTGCTGCTGCTGCTATAGTTTGAGAGTGTAGACTGTAGATGCATACTGCCTAGGTTTGAGTCTCAGCTCCACCAAGCACCAGTTCTATGACCTTTGGAAAGTCATTAACCCTCCATGTCTTAATTTCTTCTCCTGTAAATGGAGAAAATAAGTGCAGCAGCTTCAGCAGTTTGTTATGAGAATTAAGCAAGTCAGTATTTGTAAACTGCTTAGCATACTGTCCAATATACAGCAAACCTTACATGTTGAAAGTTGATCATGATTACTGTTAATAGTACCAACGCTATATGTCTATGGAATCCAGTAAAGACCCCAAAATTAAGAGTTGGAAATATTGGCAAGAAAAGAAGCAAACAATAGAATATGCCTCTTGTGGCTTATTTTTGTCTAAAAATAAATGAATATATTATAAATGTTATGTAATGAAATGTTTAGAAACCTTTCTTAAGGATTACTCCTGAGCTTTGAATGCAGCCTGTGAAAGAAGTATTCTGAAATATCTAGTAGTTGACTTGGGACCTATTTTATCATACTTAGGAATGGGTGGCTCACTTACAACCCCCTTCTACCCAATGTCACCAGAGATCAGGCCTGAGAGGGTTCCAAAGGCCTAGCTGCCTCAGTCACAGGTTTGACCTGGTGTCTGGAATTCCCATACTGCAGGTCTGTGTTCTGGGTCTAAGAACTGTGTCCAGAAGACCCTATTAAAATGCATATATGCCACCTAGGAGAGAGAAGGAGAGTAACCCATTAATAGCACATATTAGTTTATCAGATTAGCAGTCACGAAGGGCCCTCAGGGAAGGGAACTCACAGGCCTTGTGAATTCAGGTAACTTACTTCACTTAAAGAAAGAACATTTGCTTCCATCCCATTTGAATTTTTAAATTCAGTCTTGTTGCCTTAAGGACAGGATAAGGTTCAATAATCCTCATCAAATCTCATGGAGTTGTATAAATTCTGTTCTCATAATGTCTGGTTAAATCTTGTGACTTTACCAATCTTAGTAAGATTTAATGATGCCTAACTGGGTCTAAGAAAACTTTAACCATTTTTGTCACTTAAACCATGCTCTACTGGA